GTGTGTGTGTGTGATTCCCCTCTCTCTCTCTCTCTCGCTCTTTCTCCCCGCCCTCTCTGTTTCTCACGTTCTGGCTCTTGCTCTTGCTCTGTCTTGGGGGCCTGTCTCTGTCTCTATCTATCTGTCTGTCTATCTTTCTATCTATCTATCTATCTATCTATCTATCTATCTATCTATCTATCTATATATCTATCTATCTAGCAAGCTAGCTAGCTATCCGGGCTCCGTAGCTGATTATGAACATTTTGGTGTAGCGGTTAGGCACTTCTCTGTCGCACGCACGAGAGCCAATTTCGATTCCCGAGTGGGGAGAACATTTTTATTATCTCGGTATCTCGATCTTTCTGCTGCGATGTATCCTTCTCCGCCGAATTGGCACAAACTGGGATGGTCAGAAGCGTGCCTACTAAATGATCCACAGTTTGTCGATGGGACCGTAAAAACACAAACATAAAAAAAACGCACGGTTGAAATATTTTAAAGCTCGGTATGCTTAAGCTTTGCCTCAAAGAGCAGACACAGGTTTGAGTGGGTTACAAGACTCAGTAAAAAGACAGAGGTCTTCAATAACCTACACTTGGTACTGGAGAATAACGTGATAACTATGCCATAGACGCGGAGCAAGTAAGCCAACTCAAAGTAGAATAAATAAATAGATAGAATCTGCAAATTGGCATGTATTTGTGCTAGGATGGGGTGAAAAAACAGCATTTGATATACTCTTAGTTGGTTAAAAACAAAGGTTTGGAATAACAGTAGAATTTCTCAAACCGGCCCTACAGTTCTGCATTGTTTTACATCTGAGATAACAAAAGTTCTCTGATATTTTTGTACTTGTAATGTTCATCTTGCAATGCAAGGATCGTCTCTCAAGGATTGCTTTTTTTAAAAAGAAACGAAACGTTTACTTTACTTTTACTTTTTTCCGTCTTCTGGTGTCCTTAGGATGTCGAGGGCAAGTTTCGTTCTTGTGCTTGGTGTGTAGAGTCTGTGATAGATATGTTATGTTGCTCCTGGACCTTTTTAACCCCTTCCAGCCAGGTCTTCCTCTTGAATTAAAGCCGAATTCTCGGGTGTTGTAAGCTCTAGCCGCTAGTTGTTTCTGGGGTATTCTGGTTAGATGTCCAAACCATTTGACTCTTTGACGCTCTATGAATTTTATTACTGGTGGTATTCTAGTTTGTAGACGTATAGTTTATACTGGTGACGTTGATGGTTTTGCAGAGACACCTCATTTCGCATGTATTGATTTTTCTTTCTCGTGCCTTGTTTAGAGACCATATTTGACACTGGTATGTTAATGTTGATATGAAGATGCTGTTGATGAGCTGGGATTTTACTTCGTTGGGATGTTCTTGTGACTGAGCAGGGGTGCTAGCTGGTAGGTCACTGCATTTGCTTTCATAGCTCTTGTTTCTATTTCTTTGTCCATACGCTCATCTTGTGTGAGGATGCTTCCCAAATATTTAAATTCCTCTACTTGTTGGAGCTGTGTTCCTTCAATAAGAAGAAACAAAACAAACGTTTAATATCAGTGCTGCTGGTGACGTCTATGATATTGCTTGAGGATTATCGGAGACGCGATTTTAGAGAGTAAAACATGTCTGCTCTCTTTGAAACTAACGGGTTGCATTTATAATAGCTTGCTTTCAAAAAGCACAAAATATCCCAATTTCAAAGAAATGCAGGGGTTCTTTAGACGAATCGTACTAGGGCTAACTTCCAGACAGGAAGTGTAATATCATGGCAGCTGGCAATGTATGCTTCCCATGAAGATTATTTCAGAATGCTATCAGGTCTGCTGGGCTAATAGTATAGAATGTGAAGCGCACAGAGCTTGCTGTTCAGCTTTAAAAAAAATATTATATCATCCCATTGTGAGGACGTGCTGTGTGTTGCAGGCCCGACTAGAGGAGCTGCAGAACGAGCTGCTTGTCAACACGGACACGCTGTCCAAGACGGTGAGGAAAAAGAGCAGCGCTTACGACAGCCGGCCAAGCTCCACTGCCTCCGGGACCGTCGCTATCGTCCTCCTTGCTACGGTCGTGGGATTTCTCGTCAGTAGTGACGTCATCAGCCTGGTGTATCATATTCTCAATGTGTGGATGGGTCACTCCCGCCGTCCAAAAGAGATTGTTCAGGAGACATGACCAATACTGCACAACGTTGTTGTATTGTCGTAATAGTGATTGTATTACTACTTGTCGTGGTGGCCATACGCATTTCGTGTATGAATAAAAGGAGGTACAGATATCGTTTACGTTAGATCCCATTTTACAACTGGTACACTTAAAGTGTTATATTCCTTTTCCAATTTTAAGAATTGAATTCACCTTTCTTGGACAGTGTCCCATTATCATTGAAAAAAACAAAACAAACAATTTTGCTCAAAGTTCGCCTCTGTATTTATTATGCATTAAAATATTTAAAATATATGCATTTATCGGTTAATGATCCATGTATTTCTCTGTTTTTATAGGTGTACGAATTGCATGTAGCACAAGTTCCGCGCATATTTACCGCAAACCTGTCAGAGATCAAAGAGAAATGCTCTGCTTCACCGGAGTCCAATGAAGTGCACTGAATGACCTTCAGTGTTTTCGAATCAATTTTCCAGAGCAGAGTAAATATGCAAACAATATTATACTGCCGACCTGTATCCCTTAAACTGTGATATTATTAAATGAATATTCTGTGACGCATTACGACGATTGTGCTGCTGATCAAAGGACGTGGGCGTTCAACACGTTTTTCTTCAAAATACTTGATGTTACCCTATTTTTTCCTCCATTTGTTTCCTCGGGGCACAGTATTTTTAGCGCTCCTCCTTGTCCCTGTTAGAGTTCTAAAGCTGTTAGAAAAAAAGAATATTCTTGATTTTCTTGATTTTCAATAGTATATTGACCCGTTCTTATTCCTCAAATTTTGCGTGTGTATGCATACTGTCTTTACGCTGTTTGCTTACATATAAATTTGACGCTGAAATGTTTGAATGAGAAGTAGATTTTATTTTTAATGTTGGCCTTTATGGAGAGAACGAGATTTTGTTGAAATGTCTGAATGAGCGAGTGTTTTGTTTTTCTTTTTAGTAAGCATTTCTGTGTGTATGAATTAAATGATTGTATGTGCTTGTAAATGACAGCCTGGCTGTGATCTTGTGCATATATGAGTTTCGTGAGAGAGATTAGAATGACTAGTACGTTTGGGTGTGTGTGTGTGCGTGTGTGTGTGTGTGTATGTGCGTGTGTTTGGGTGCTAGTGTGTTGTGTGTGTTAGTGTGTATGTGTGTGTATGTCTTTATGCGAAATCTTAGTGTGCCTGCGTGTGTGTTTGTTTGTGTGTATTTCTGTCTGAATGTGTGTAAGTGCATGTATGTGTGTGTGTGTGTGTGTGTGTGTGTGTGTGTGTGTGTGTGTGTGTGTGTGTGTGTGTGTCTG